TTGCCAGTAACGAGGACATTAGAGAAAATCTATTATTATTATTGTACTCGAGGAATAATAGTAGACGTAATATCTAACCGTATCCAGAAAACTACACTTTTTGTTTCGTGGATTTCGAAATTGTAAGCAATGCGAATGATGCAACGCAACACTTACAATTAGTAAATCATAATTAACGAATTATAGTGGAATTCGTTTATTATGACTCCGCTTATATTGACTAACCGCTGAATATGAAGTAATTGTAGTGTTAAGTTTGGTTTTCATTTTAAATTTTGTATAGGAAAGTTTGGATATAATGACTCCGTTTAAAATGACATACCGTTTATTATGACTGATTCTCAAGAAATCATATCCGGCTGTAGTGACCCAAATGATTAATAATAACATTTTCGCTCATTTTTCTGATCCTTCTTGTGTATATTGATATTACAATTCATCGTTCTTTTTCTTTTTCTGTTAATAAATATATTTACAATTTGTAGTTTTTCTCTCTATTAAATTAAATAACTAACCAAAATAGAAAGTTGTTTATTTTCTAAGACTATGCTTTGTATGACGCCCGCTTAGTATGACGTGCTTGTTAGTTCCCTTCGATGTCTTTATAAGCGGATTCTACTCTGACCGAGGTATAGTTGAAGAAATGTTGAATATTCTTCGTATTCTAAAATATGTTTTTCAACGTTTTATTTTTAAGTAAGTAGGCACTTTTATTTGTGGAGCATGTCCCGAAATTTCTGTTTTTTGTCTTATAATCTGAGTCATTTCTTCGTATTAAAAATGCACCTCGTTTTCAATCTCTCTCGCGTACCGAAAGCAAGAAATCCACTCTGAGAGGGCAAGTTTTCCACGAAGCGTAGCGAGAGCAATAATCCAAACAAATTAATATTTATCAGCCGAGAGGGTTGAATTGCACGGAAGTCTTTGAGGGCTCGTAAAGGTGGTTGGCGTGGAGCAATTATAATTGATTCTAGCAGAAAAAAAAAGAAGAAGAAAAAGTCGTACACCCTCTCTCGAGCATTTTTCTGCAGTTTCACTGCAGTCTGTATGCTACTTATACAGGTAAACTATGGAAATTTTGCTAAAATTATTTTCAACTGCATACCTAATAATAATAATAATGTTCCAAGGCTATTGATTTCAGATTGAACATTCATTTTTCTTTATGTAAGTCTTTCAGTTGAAGTTGTTTACATAGCATCGATTGGTGGGTAAATTTTCTTCTTCAAAGGCGCTTTTCTGCAATACTTTTATGGCATTTGAGTATATTGAAACGATTTTTATTAGAGTAACAAATGCTATTTATTTGAACTTGTTTCAGTAGAAGACTTCCGTTTTCTTTTAAGATTTTCTGTGTACCAAGAAACTGATACCTGTTACAGACATTCAAAAAAAAATTATTGAGACATTTTGAGCAGTTTTTAATGCTGATTTTTTTGTAGCGCCGAAAAAAAAAAGCAAAAGTAAAAGCAAACAATAATAGCATGGAACAATTGTGTAATTCATTGTATTACTTATTATTGTTTCCTTATGGTTAGCATTATTGGTTTGCTAATTGTTTTTGTTTATTGTGTAGCATTGTAAAAGTATTTATTGTATTACTAATTATGAGCAAATGGCCTTTATTATTAACTACACGTTTAAATTAACATTGTTAATAACTATAATTATTTATAGAAGTAGGAACACGATTTTCTTTTTTCACTTATTATTATTATTCATACTATCGGACATGTCACTAACGGATCAAAACAATATTTTACTTGACTGTAACCAATCCGAGATCGTACTGACGTAGTATGAAACTTGTAGAGATATGCAAATAGTTTTTTTAAAAGTGTTTCAATACAAAATGCAAATACTTTTTTGATTTGTTATTTCAAATGTAAAATACAAAATAGTTTTCCCTTTTGTATTTTACATGCGAAATGCAAAATACGTATTTTCAAAATATTTTTTTTTCAAATAAATACTTTTTTGTAGTACCTATTTAACCTACATTTACTTAAGTGTGGTGTTTGCACTATATCAGGAACTGCGAAGATTGAATAAGATTCATATTTTTTCTGTTTGGAGTGATTGAGATATAGTTTTTCTATCTTTATATTATAGTTTCTTCCGTTCAGAAACATTTTTATTTTATTTCTTCCTTTAATTATTCTATTATTCTTAATTAATTCTTCTTTTATTTCTATTCCTTATTTACCTTTTTTAACCGTTTTAATTGGAAAAAAGACACTGATGCTAAAATAGTTTGCTTAGCGTGAAACCCCATTTTATTTCTGATCTTTTACACATTGTAATAAGAGAAAAAAATGGAATCCATAGTTTCTTTAGCTTTGGGTTCATCTAATAAATGAAATTTTTCGAATCGTTTTCTAAGAATTTTGGATTATACGTATTAGCACACCACAATATCTTCTAGTTTTGTTTTACACGGATGGCGTATATCAATTCGATATTGTTTTGCGGGCTGTTTCGTCGTAATTCATAGAATTTCGTAGTTCCTTGCTAAAGGTACGATAAGTTGTGATTTGACAGGTGCTGATATCAACTTGGAACTTCAAAATTTCATGGACCATGACATTGAACCCGGAAAACAATATCGATCCAATATTTTAGATGATCTATTTCCAAGGAGTTTAGAATTTTTTGGGCTCTCTTTAGTTAAAGAACTTACAAGGCTATTCAAGGAATGTCTCTTTGTCCCCCTTTTAAGCTTGTAATACCTTCAATGGCTAATGTGAGCACCTATTATTCATCATTTCATATAGTTTGATCGGTGATACTAGCAAAACTTTTAACGGCAAAAATGTGTTTTGTATTTTACAAATAGAAAATACGTTTGGAAACACATTATTTATGTTATAATATCATATAACAATAGAGAATAAATACATACGTATTGATTCACATTATAGTATTATATACGTCTTCAATTTTTCGCATTTACCAATATAGCTGTATCCATGCCCTTTTTTTGATTAACGGAAAATTAACTGAAGCTCGGTAATGAGATTTATATCGGATCAAGAACGTATCCAGAGCGGCTACTAGTGCGGATCTAGCATAAAGCTCGATTTATACTATCGATCCGGTTACTGTCCGGTCACAGTTAAATAAAATATAGCATACATTTCTTGTGGCACTATTCATATTATAAGGAATGGTCAAGTAACAGCCTGCAATATCTCTCTTCAACGATATTTTGATGTAACTGTAACTGAACTATGACTTGCCCGATAATATGAACAGGCATCTAATGTTCATTTACTGTAGGTGTTTAATTTATTTCAACACTTTTTTATTTACTGTTTCCAGTGAAGTATAAGAGCCCTTCCAAACCAGACTTTTCAGTTTCCATTTAAAACAGTTCTTTAGTTCTTGTTTCGTCAACCGCACAATTTTCCTCTCTGTAGTTCCAATTATTAGATTTAGAACAAATGCGGGTCGAACCAACCAACCCAAAATAGATCAAAGACGTGTACCCACCTCCGTCGGTCAAAGAGTGACAAGTTTTTTGTTCTATTCTACTATGGTGGAGTGAAGTTTAAATTCATCGACTTTGTTCGAAGGCGTTGTTTGTAGTTTTTAAAACATGTTAAATTTTTAAATATACATAGTTAGAAAGTAAACGATTTTGACGTATAAAAGTGGCTGAAAACATTGTATGTAGACTGCTAAAACACGGGAAAAATACTGCTTTTTCCAGGTGAAAAATTAAATTGTCAAAGAAATTGATAAATAACAGGGACAAGATCAATAGTTTACACAAACTGTTTGTAGATAGGTATGTACTTATAAAAAGATAATGGATTGCCTTGCAATGTGTAGCTCTATTGTATCCAAGAAATAATGAAATTAATTGTAAAAGTTCATGGGTAGGTGTAAGATTTATACTCTGACAGATGACGCAGTTTATTAAGTAAACTCATTCTTATATGATTAAGCCCGAATCAAGACAGCATCAGTTCACCTGCTGGCCGCGAAAGTCTTTACCAACTCAAAAATGCTTTTGAAATTCTATGTCTCCTATTTCCAGATATATTTTAATTTAAATGAAATGAAATACGTAAAAATAATTGCCCTTAGGTATGGTAGGTGAAACACCTACAGTTAATAAAAAAAAAAAAAACTATCCTCCCTAAATCTTAAATTAAACCAAAAGCAAATAAAAAATGTAACTAATTAAATTACTTTACTAGCTATGATAGTTTACGCAGTCTAAATAAAATTTTTTTTATAAATTATGCTGGAACAACAAAATTATGTATTTGATTTCTAAATTTTTTAGGCGGAAAGGTTAATTTATGTTCCTATATACTTCGTAGATGATATTAGGTCATACTGAAATTGAACGTTTTATATTTTTACTAGCTGTCCCGGCAGACTTCGTACTGCCCCAATCGATATATAAAAGACCTAAATTTTTGTATAAAATAAACTTAGTTGACAAATGTCAAATATTATGGTTGCGTTCAGAAATTTAATTTGACAGAACTTAAGATTTATCAATCTACATAAAAATAATCTGAAAGATTAGTTAACAACTTTCATATTTATTCACCTTTTAAACCTTCCCTGGACTTCCACAAATAATTCAAGACCAAAATTAGCCAAATCGGTCCAGCCGTTATCGAGTTTTAGCGTGACTAACGAACAGCAATTCATTTATATATATATAGATATGTAGGTAGAACGGTGTACAGAACTTATTTACCTATAACATTTGAAAAACAATCGCTTTATTTAACAACGTATTTGATATTCATTCTGCCCACGTATTTTGATAAAAATGAGGAAAACAACGTCGCGCCATATCGATTGCTTTCCTTTGTTTTTGTTTTTCTTTCTTTCTGTTATATCTCGTAATACTGACTTCAATATCATATTGTTTTCTTCTTGGTTTATTTTACTAATTTACGAGAAATTATTTGTCAGAAATTTGACTAATTGAAATATCTATAGATAGGCATGCATTTTGTTTATTTCTTTTACAGCAAACCGTCTGAACGAGTACATTTCACATTACGAGCCCTTAGATTATGACACGTGGGAAGTGCACAGGGCACACCAGAGGGCGAAGCGGTCTGTTATCAGGGACGATGCCGTGAATGTCCAATTTAAAGCTCATAATCGTGAGTTTCGTTTGAGACTGAAAAGGGACTTGGACGTCTTCGCCGACAAGCTGGAGGTCCATGGTCCAAACGGTAAACCCGTACATGTTGATACCGCTCACATATACAAAGGTCGTGTTATCGGTAAGTCGTAGAGTCTATTAAGTAATGTTAAGACTACGAAAGATTTAAATGAGTTGAGTATTCCTAAAAAACACTCTGTATCTTTTTATTTTTTTGACGGTAGTTTTCTAAAATATGGCTTAAAACGGGGATGTTTTTCTTTTTTTATCGTACCGTTTTGATAATATCGCAGCATTGAAAGCCGTTGGCGCAGATATTCGTTTTTTCTCATCCCTTAACTGTTTCATGAGCGTCGACTGTTGAATATTTGAAAACTGAAGCGTGAATTTGTGTCAAATCGGTTTATACAAACCCCACAATAAGCACTGAGCTTTTTGTAAAATACGAAATACTTTACACCATTATTCATTACGCTATACGGAAACAGCTGTGCTTTAATCGCTGTTACCATGGTTACGATCAATAAGCCACGAATGAGCAATGGGCCCGTGTGATAAAAGAAACAACAACTATGTAATACTAGGTTGAAATAAAGTGCAATTTTTTATATTTATTAAACTGTAAAACTAAAAATAGTAATGGCGGTACACTTTTGTATTGTCCATTGGAATGAGGCGGTTTAGTTGTGGGTATTTTTGAATTTTTTCACCCTCTTAGCGTTGTCACTTTTCGAATTATCTTCTCTTCAAATGTTATTCCCCTTGTTGTCACGTCGTACGGACGTGTCTCGCAGGGATTGTACTTTGGACCTTTGCTGTTTATTTTTCACAGGCGAGCCAGACAGTGTTGTGTTCGGATCGGTGATAGATGGGGTGTTCGAGGGTAAAATAGTCACTCCCAAGGGGAATTTTTTCGTCGAGAAATCGTACCGATACTTTCCCGAACACAAACACCCCAACCGGACATTCCATTCAGTAATTTACAGAGAAGATCATGTGTCTGATCCTTACGAGAACCGTCGTGCAGGCAAGAAATTCTTCAATTTACATGCGAACGTTTGAATTCTATTTGTTTGTTCTCGAAAGGTCATGGAAGCGGCTGCGGGATCACAGACGAGGTCAGTCAGTGGATGGAAAAGGTTCAGAATGCAGCCGTAGAAGATCCACCTCCCAATTCCAAAGAAAAGTACAGAAAACGTAAGAAAGCTCACGACAAAACCAAAGATAATAAACCAAAAGAACATTATAATAATAACACGTTACATGATGATTTTGTAAATAAATATTCACGGGAAGCGAACGAGCCCTACTTCTCTCGTGTTCGTAGAAAAAGGGCGACGAAAACTAGAGAAGAGAATAAGAACACGTGTTCTCTGTTCATACAAACGGACCCGCTCATTTGGAAGCACATCAAGGAGCAATTTCCCGAGGTAAGGAAGAACGCAGTTCCGTTTTTGTTGGACTTGGAAGTATTCTTGTATTTTTAGCCCACCGATCGTCAGAAAGAACTGGAAAGAAACGAAAAAACCCGAGAGGAAATTTTGTCTCTCATCGCTCACCACGTTACTGCCGTTAATTATATTTACAGGGATACAAAGTTTGATGGTAAATTCGAACATCGGAACATCAAATTTGAAGTCCAACGAATAAAGGTAAGAATCTCAAAATAAAATTTACCTACATTTGTCATAAATGTTTTTATATCAAGAAGACTAGTGCCCCTACCTTCTTTCTTCTGGTTCAATTTCCCTTGAAGTCCAATTTTTCTGTATTTTACATTTATAATTGGACTGTGTTCAGAAATTATGCAGATTTTTCATATTTTTGAATTTTTAGAATGATTTCGTTCTCGCTTTAACACGTTAAACTTAACAAAATAATTCGAATTGGTCTGTATTCTGTCGAAACTGCCAGACGCGGATCGCGATTTCGATTCTTTTTGGATCTCATCAGCGCGTCGCATGCAGCTCCGACAGAACACTTTTACCTGCTGTCTTAACAGTACGTTTTAGAAAATACCACAAATGGCGCAGTAAACGCCATCTGTAGCACGATGCTACATTTTAGGATTACGTATGCTCCAACAAGGTCCATTTAAAAATATGGATGTCGACTTGCTGAAACGAATCCTGGCGTAGCTCACCTCAACGTGATAGGCACGTTACCATAATCGAACAAAATAATTCGAATTGGTCTGTATTCTGTCGAAACTGCCAGACGGGGATCGCGATTTCGACCTTTTTGGATCTCATCAGCGCGTCGCTGCAGGCAGCTCCGACGTTAAACTTAAAAAAAGTTTTTATTATTGAATGTTAGTGATGGAACTTATCCTACAGTTAGGCCTTTTCAATAAATAGACCCATATTTTTCAAATAAATTTGATCGATATCAATATCAGTACTCTACTGACCCATAATAAGCGGGAGGTCTCTTATCTCTACCTACTGACAATAACTCAACTTTTATAATTACTTACTTGTTACCTATTGAAGATGAGATTGGGTTTTTAAAACATGTTTACTTTTAATCCACTTTACAACCGACGACAGGATCGACGTTAAGAAAAAACTTTTCTCGTTAAACTTATAGATTGACGATGACACAACGTGCCACTGTGGCCCTAATGAATGCGAACCGAACCAGTTTTGTTTGGAAAATATCGATGTTAGTAACTTTTTGAACATACATTCCCTTGGCAATCACGAGGATTTCTGTCTCGCGTATGTCTTCACCTATCGGGATTTTACGGGGGGCACTTTGGGATTAGCGTGGGTGGCGTCAGCTTCTGGAGCTTCCGGCGGAATATGTGAAAAGTACAAGACGTATACGGAAACCATCCACGGAATGTACCAATCAACCAAACGATCACTTAACACGGGTATCATAACTTTTGTTAACTACAACAGCAGAGTACCACCGAAAGTGTCGCAACTTACCCTGGCCCATGAAATTGGACATAATTTTGGATCGCCGGTAAGTGTTATTATTTTTTTTTTTAATTTAAGACGGAGTAAAAAGTTAAAAAATTAAGTTTTATGTTTTCTTTTCCTTTAAAAAGTTTACGTGTATATAATTACCAGTTATTATCGTATATCGTATTTTATATTATACCTAGTAGTAGGTATTGTTAATACGTAGTATGTTATTTTTAATTTACCTTGAAAACTTTTATTGGTGTAATTTTTTGTATCTATCTGCTAATATTTATGAATCACTCCATTCTCCGCGATTATATTACATTACATGAGTAAATGCTGGATTTTAAGTTCTCGTCTGGTTGCAGTTTTTTTAATTGATATTTGCTTCAATTTAGTCGCTTGTTTTCTTTAAAGGTCAGAAAGGTTCCTCAATGACTTCACAACAAACATATTTGCTGAATTAATATAAATAAATCGATCAATTAAAATATATTGTCATCAGGAAAAATTATATAAAAAGATTACGTAATAATCGTACATTTTAATTTATTCGAATAAATAACTGGAAAGTTGAGTATGAATAAATGAGAATTTATAATGTCTTAAAGGATCACTACTATCAGCAAAAATTTACAATATTGTATCATGAAAACATTTGCCTCAAATTAAAAAACATCATTAATACTAATTTATTCTTTTAAAGCATGATTATCCTCCAGAATGTAGACCTGGTGGTCTGAATGGCAATTATATCATGTTCGCATCTGCAACTAGTGGAGATCGTCCAAACAACAGTAAATTTTCCAGCTGCAGCATTGGCAATATTTCCAGCGTTTTAGACGCGATTTTTGAGACCAAGAAGCGAAATTGTTTCTCTGCGTCGGCGGGAGCCTTCTGTGGCAATAAGATTGTCGAAGCTGGTGAAGAATGCGACTGCGGGTACGACAACCTGGAATGTATGGACAGCTGCTGCTACCCCCGAATTGTCGATCCTCTGGACAAAGTTATGAACCAATCAGCCAAAGGATGTCATAAAAGAAAAAAGGCCCAATGCAGGTCAGTAATGTTATTACACTTTTTTACTATTTAAAGGCCATTTTGTGAGATACCTTTGGTTAGACTTACAATTTACTACATTACTACAATGGACGGTTGGGTTTTTAAGCACCCCTTTTTGAGTTTTGGTTTCTTCTTGGAACTTTAGTTTTTTAAAAAAGAACTCATAATCTTTTACACAAACTTTATTCCAAAAAAAAAACACCTTTTGACAATTACTTACTAACAATACCCTATGGGCGGAAGTTAGTCGGACATTACAAGTCTTAAAAGTAAAAGTACAGTACAGGTGAAGATGCACCTGTATTTATAATTTAAATTGGCTGATACTGCAATCTGTGCGAAACACGCCATACCTCGCGTGGCGTGACATCTTGCGATGCGTGGCGTGATTCTGTTATGGGAACACGTGTTATCTTGGATAACTTTTGGTGTTAATAATTGTGATGTCTTTAATGTCTTTTTTTATTCTAGTCCTAGTCAAGGTCCGTGCTGCAGTGGTGAAACTTGTACCTTCATCCCCGCGTGGCGTAACGAGGTGTGTAAAACCGAGTCTGACTGTTCACGCTCTTCAAAGTGTAACGGTTTGTCCGCGGAATGTCCTCCCCCTAGTCCAAGACCGGACAAAACGCGTTGTAACAACGGTACTCAACTGTGTATTAAGGGCGAATGTAGCGGTTCGATATGCCTCGAGTGGAATCTCACCGCCTGCTCCCTTAATTCCAAGGACAATCCTAATATGGACAAACGAAAACTGTGTGAACTTGCATGCCAAAATGGTACAGATATATGTCGAAGCACTAGTGAGTTTGCACATATCGTCGGTTTGCCACCAGGTGGCATCAGTCTGAGACCTGGTTCACCCTGTGATAACTTCCAGGTAACGTTTTGTAATTTCTTAATTTTTCGTGAAAATATGTATTGTGGTCGTTTTTGTCAGGGTTATTGTGATGTATTTTTAAAATGTCGTGCCGTGGATGCCGATGGTCCCTTGGTAAGACTGATGAACCTCCTTTTGGACGAGGAGACTCTCACAAATGTGGCCCAATGGATCACTGAATTTTGGTGGGCAGTAGTTTTAATCGGAGTTGGTTTTATAATTTTTATGGGGCTGTTTATAAAATGTTGCGCTGTACACACGCCCTCTTCGAATCCCAAAAAACCACCCGCTCGAAGACTGAGTGAAACTCTTCGCAGGCCGATGAATACATTACGGAGAATGGTAAGGGAAAAAAGCTTAATTTTTATGTGACGTAGTCAACTTAGTGTGTTACCTTCTCTTGTAGCGACACCATCATGGTGGAATGCATTCAGTCAATGTACCTGGAGCTCCTGGTAGAGCACGAAGCGATAGACCAAACAGGCCATCAGCTAGCCAGGGCCCCAGACCTGGTTATGGCCAAGGAAGAGGACAGCATTACATAGCCAAAGGTACACATTTTTTTGTTTTGTTCTGTTTTACCAGCTACATATTTCGCTTTTTATTATCATTTTAATTTAGTACTTTATACAATCATTTGCATTTGAGAGAATATTGCTATTACAATCACTTTACGAAAGCTATTAATTTTTTAACAAGAGATTGTTTTCCTTTTTAATTCGTTTCGTTAATTACCAAAACATTCACAAGCGAGCATTTCATCTTTTGTTTTGAAATGGTAAACGTTAATTAATGAACTTGTTTCATGACTAATTATAAATTCGAGGCTGTGTATTTATATTTATTTAATTAAAAGTAGAAATTCTTTACAAAGTCGGGAAAACGTTATGTTTTCATGTAGCAAAATGTCTAATCCTTCTTTTTATCATCTTTCTTTTCTTTTATGGCAATTATATTTTAGGTGTCTAATTTGTTCTCTTTATTGGTATTGGAAGTAGTTTTAATCGGAGTTGGTTT